GGCATCTTTGACCTTCGCCCCAATCTTACAATTGAGTGGTGCACCTAAGCTAGCACAATGGATCAAGCATAAAATTGTACATACTCTGGGATTTTCGGCTTGGCCAACTCATATTAGCCATTATTATCGGCGACGTCATTAGCTACGAAGGGAATGGGTTCTGGTATCGTCAATAGATCAATTATTTGTAGAACTGGTGACCAATCATTTCATGCAAACTGAATTTTAATGACTAATACAAGTTCGTCTTATCAGCAACAGCCACACGATACTTGTGAATTGGGACAGGCCTGGAAGACCTTTAAAGTTAACTCTACCCTTTGATCTATTGGCGTCCTTGACTTCGTCACATCATTACGGAGTAATCATTTTACGTTTTCAATACCGGTTGAGGCATAGAAAAAGTAGATACGAAAAACAACTCGGTTTTGATGAGTATCTTTAGATACCATTATGGATACGAACAGTAAATGAGTTTCGATGAATTTCCCAAGTTAGCATTGTTGGAGAGAATTTTATTTTGTATGATAGTGCATGGAAAAGAGCTTTGAAGGTTAAGCTCACAGACTCGTGTTTTACCACAGCCATTTGGTTTTAACATGACGTCCAGGTTGACGCAGTCCACGAGACATCCTCTCTCATTTTTAGTAAAAACGGATTGAGCTTTCGTCCACCATATGATGGACCCTGAGAGTGGGCAGATAAATCCCCATATGCTCGGCCAGGCATGTGGGTCTATCTATGCACATGTGTGTATTAGAAGTGAGGGTAGAGAGAAATGTCGATATAGGAAATGCTAAGGTGGAAAGGATTAGGTTTTGGTTGGAATTGTGAGAAATGATGATGGAGTTGAATGCATTGGCCATTTGGGAGATGTGATCTTTTCATCCTACCGAGCTACCAGAAACGTGCTGGAATAGCACTCCGTTCAGACTGGCCCCCAGAAACTCACACACCTCCATTTCACGTTAAACACTTTAGTCCGGAATTTTCGATCAGGCCAACGTTTTACATCACCTAAGCTGGACAAGGTTCTCGATTTGCCTTTTTGGTTCGCTTATCATTTATTTGAGGTCACATCAACCCGCCTCTGAGTATTGTCTGGTTTCCTTAAAAAAGTTGTAAATTTACAGACTTCTAGTTCCACCTTCATCTCTTACTCTCTAGTCTCAAATCTTTTCCTTCCTAATAGGCTTACCACACGATAGTAAAACGTCATAGTGACTAGCACCCTAGAACCCAACCTGCATGGTTGGCCTCTTCTCTTTACTCAATCTATTTCTCCTATGCTCCAACTCGCAGATCTGTCATCGGTCGGGCAATCTTTCCGGCATAGGGCCAACGTATGCACAGCACATGCAGTGCGAGTTAACTGGCCGGCCATGTTGTGCCGGCCTTCGGGGTGAATGCATCATAACGACACGGCAACACTGTGACTTCTTGCGGGGCCACTACAATCCGGAGGCGGCACTCTGTTCCCAGGTAGATTTTGATATCCTCTAACTCTTCTGTTTCCATCTTTTTCTCCTTTTTATTTTTACCTTCTTTTAAGCCCTCTCAAGTTACTCAAATTTTAGAGATGGAGAGAAGCTGCGTTTCGAAGAATGCCTTAATACAGTGGTTCCCAAACTTTTCCTAGTCGCTGCGCCCTTTTTCAATAAAAATTTTTTCATGGCGCCCCACCCTAAGTATGACTATTCGTAAGTAAGAGATTAAAAAAATAAAACTCGTGTATCTTCATTATTTTTTGTAATTTTATTAACATTAAATTAATATTTAATAATTAATGTGATAGATGAGCTCGCAAATCACAACACATTTTCTCAAATTGAAGCTTTTACAATATTCCGCGGCACCTCTGTAAAGAGACCGCGACTCCCCGGGCCTCTGCGGCGAACAGTTTGGGAATCACTGCCTTAATAGATTGCTGCACGCATACCTCTCATCTCATTTAAAAGAGTGGGTAGAAGGGATTCGTAAATTGGCCTCACTGTATGTCGAAGGAGGATTTTCTTGGGCTTCTGAATATTGGATTGTGCGAATAAGCCCTCGGCTCACCGTCCTGCGACCCCGATTAATCCCTGCTGATCTTTCGTCCGCCATGCTAGAAACCATTATTTATAAAAAAAATAATCAAAAACACTAAGCTAAGAACGGTGGCCAGCTGAAACCCTAATTATTTATAATATCTAACTTCTCTCCTTTCCAATTGAAATAAAAAGTATGTGAGAATTAATTGGCCCATTTTCCCCTTTCTCACTCTCGTGTCCTATCAAAAATATTATCTTGTCCTAAATACACTGGATACTCTCCCTCTTTCTCCCTTTTTTTCGACTCCAGATTTGGGGTAGAATTGAAGTTTTAACTCCAAACTCGCTCTTCTGTCCTCTTTATATCCCCAACAGTCACACAACGTGTAACAACCCAGAGCGGTCAGCATTCAGCTGGATTAGGCTTACGACTTTGGCCTTTGCTGATTGTACATTGAACGTGCGTCTATAAGGACAACTTAATGCACTTAGTCATATTAAGCAGATTGGTTTAAAGCATCCCTTAATAACTTTCTTACCATTAGAACTTTTTTGTGTATAACAAGTTGGCTGGGAGGGTTTTGCATATTGACCCTTATAGGAAAAAAGGAGTTTTGATTGTAGATTTGAGTTCAGAATTTCAATCACACCGTCCTGAGCTTTGTTATCTGTCATGTGACAGGAAGATTCGGAGCTATGAACCCTTCCTTAATAAAATCCACACAATACTAAATATCATAAAAAAAGTGACAAGTTCCAATCCTACCTACTTCTTAAGACATTATTTTGATGGTTCTATGAGACATCCGATGATTCGATTGCCTTTTTCCTGCTTCTCTTGACTTGCATGGAGGTGAGTGAGGTCTCTCAGGATGTAGCCAACATACATTTTCTTTACCGTCCGGCCTTTGTTGGGATTATGCTGTGATGAGGCTTGCTTTGATGTGTGATTGCATACGCGTTGTCTGTGTGCACTGCATGCTTCTATGGAAATGTTAAAGACCTAAACAGCCTAGATATTAATCACGCTTCTTAGTCGATGATTTTTCATACTCTCTTTCTTTTATTCTTTCCAAATCCAGACTAGTTTATGTTTAATTTTCCACACGTATTCCTTATATTCAAGATGTTTGTGGCTTTTCAATTTCTCCTGACTACTTATTACTTTCCTCGATCTCTGAAGCCTCCGCACTTATTTTGAATAGATCTTCATTAAGGACTGCAGTCATCCCAGGTCGCATTAGATGAATAGAGTTTGCTAGTTGAATTTGCACTATGAAATTAATAGTCCTAACAATGAATTTGAGTTCCTTTTTTGCAAAAGGTATTCCAATCCAGGATGGATTGCAATTTCGACCTTCCCTGGGTCTCATTGGCAGCCCCAATGGGAGCCGAACCCGGGTTGTGTAGTGCGCCGCCAGTACACCGCACTCCCATGGTTACCAGTGGGTCATAAACAAATCAGTCCTCTCCTATATCAAAATTATAGTGAGAATATCGATGAGACAAACCTGCGTTTGCCATTACAACCAACTACGTTACTTATTTTTATTTTGAGTAGGCCGTGATTCTTTCGGTTGACCCTGAATAAGAATTGTATTCACTCTTTCTCCATATCCTTCAAAACGATATTGTAGCCATTCTATTCGAGATACTGTCGAGGCCATAGTTACCAGTTAAGGCAACTTCTTATATATCACCCAGCCGGTCTCCGTCACAGAAAACGCTATCGCGTGATCACTAATCGTTTTAGCAGTCTGATCTGGAGAGTGGGTTTAAATATTATCGAAAAGAGGGCCTAATTGGGTACAATGCTGGCCACTTTATTCATTTTTTCTCAAAGGTTCGCCTCTTTTTTTCCAAACCTGTCAGTACGACAATATCACAAGCCGAGTGCGGTGCTCCATCTTCCCATCTTCCTTTAATTTGGCCTTATCGGAAACCGAAGGGAGAGTGCATTGGCTTTGTGGCTATTAATTGGATAGTTGAAGCCTTCGACGCCTCCTGCTATTCTTAGGATGATCTGTGCAAGATCCGGGCTTGGAGGATGATTCGTCTTGTTCCCAAATTATTTGTATTTGTGTGACTAATTTGTTGATTATCACTAGGAGAATTTTCCAAGTGAATGAACATTTCCTTTATAGTATAGTTTTTATGCTATTACAATCAAATTGAGGTTTGGAAATTACCCTTCACTTATTCAGGATTTAGTGGTTATTTCGAAACTTACTCAATATGAATATAAGCAAATGCAAGTTTGTCTCATCCAGAATCTTCTTACCAAATGTGACATTGAAGAGATCTGGCTAGCCTTGAACTTCAGGTCTACTCTATGACCTTCTGGCACTCGTGGCAATGTGGCATAGTAGCCACAGGCTGGAACCATACATGGACTCCATTTTCTTTGGAGGTGGTTATGAGACCCAGGCGAGGTCGAAAGTGCCTAACGTCGATGAGAAATCCTATTAAGCAGTGAGGCTAAGTGAAATTTAATAGAGACCTGAGGTCTACTCATATGATGCTGGTTCGATCTTGGTGTGTGTGTCCTTCTGTTTGGTCGCAGTTTCCTTTAGCTTTATGGTGTCAGCTCGACCTCGTTTTTGCAACTTGGTCGGAGCGTCAAGGAGACCTTGTGGGACATACCTAGTCCCGTATCTTCTGCAATGGTATTCGGGATTTCCAATATTGATGAACCATTGGCTGAGTACATTCCCAAACGTTTCGCTTGCATCCTACTCGAAAATGTACCCAGCCAATGGTCTAATGCTGGAAATCACGAATACCATTGCAGAAGACACAGGACTAGATATATCCCACAAGGTCTCCTTGACGCTCCGACCAAGTTGCAAAAACGAGGTCGAGCTGACACTATACAGCTAAAGAAGACTGCGACCAAACAGAAGGTAACACCATCTTGTCCTTCATATCTATGATTTAATTATATGATAGTGGGAGAATTTAACTACCAGTTCTTGAATGCATCTTGTATATTTGATATAAGTGAATGCATATATTAGATTACCTAAGGGGTTGAATAGTGGAGGTTCGGGCAAATGTTCTTGATAAAAAATAAGGAACCAAGGAACCTCGCAAATATGGGCTTTTTCTTCATCTCGTTTCATATCATACTCATATGGTCAATATAGGAGTTAGCACGATAATAAGATGTTTGCATCCAACAAAAGTTGATCACCGAGGCAGAGAAGTGTATGTGTTTTAAGAAAATTTTAATCCATAAATCTATACATTAGAACTATTAGTCAACAATTTCAAAATACTTAGGAACTGGAAGAGGGATAACTGGCGTTTAGAGTTAGTAAAATAGTTGGACAATTCTTCTCTGTTGTTGGCATACTTTTCATTTCGTTTGAAAAGACAAGTGGAAGGGATTCATAAATTGGCCTCATCGCAAATCAAAGGATGATTGCTTCAGAATTGTTACCTCTGAATTGTGCAAAGAAAACCTTGGCTCCATCCTGCAGTCCCAAAGATCCTGTGTTGAGCTTTCGTATATCAGGTGAAAGACACCGCAATGGACAGAAATCATCACTTTCGATTAGATTTATCAAGACGTTAATTCAAATGTACATCGACATTAGATCGAAATTTACAAGCAAATCTCTCTGTTCTTTCAGCTGCTCATCATCTAACTTAGCTAGGCCATACAAATTCTTTGGTGAAACTTTCGATATTTAAAGATCTGCTGCAGTTGACTTTTCTTATATGAAGAAAAGTTGAATTTTGTTGTGATGTTGTTACCTCGCTCTGATGATGTCCGTCATATGACGGACGAAAGCTCAGCAC